AAAAAAAAAAAAAAAAAAAAAAGTTTATAGCCATAAATTTGGTGCATGATTACGTGGTGAAATCCAAAATTATAATTAAAATACATACAATAAAGAGAAAAAGAAAAAAGAAAAAAAAAAAAGTAAAAGGTAATCAACGATGAGCGTTGCCGCCATTTCCTCCATTAACGTTTCCTGTGCTCACCAACTCCCAACATTTTCTCATTTTCGTAGCCAGCCGGGGCGTCTGTTAAAGCAGACTTTTCAAAGCAAAGCGGCTGGAAATGGGTGGGAAGGCAGGGGGTTGTTGGATCATGGATTTTGGAAGAACCCCTTTCCTTTTCATTGGTCAAATATGATGACCCTGTTTTTGTTTTGTTCGTCTCTCTCACTACTCTTCAATTTTATAGTGCGTTCGGTGAATTGTTTTAAAAAATTAATTAACGTCCCCTTTTGTGTTTGGTAGCCCTTTGAAAATTGCTTCTCATCTCCAGTTCCTCCTCTTATTCTACCTACCATCTTCACCGTTTCGGCCTTACCGAGCCCTTTCTCTGTCTTCCTCCCTTTATAAACACCTTCCTCACATTTGATTCTCATCTCAGAGTTCCTGACTTCGATCTCTCTTATTACACAATACCCTGTTTTCGGAGTGTTTTATAGATTCCATAAAACCCCTGCAATGGCTCTTTCCAATGCTGCTGCTCTCTCCTCTTCCAAATTGATCTTCAATCCCCTTGTTGAACCTAAATCTCACCAACCCACTTCGTTTCTTGTTCCGTCCAAGACCTACCCCAGGCCCCACCAACGGATCTCCGCCGTCCACGCTGCAGAGCCGACCAAGGACAAGGTTGTCGTTGAGAACCCCCGTAAGAAGCCGGTGACGGCGCCGTCCAGTAATGAGAAATGGAGTTTGGAGAGCTGGAAATCGAAAAAGGCGTTGCAGCTTCCTGAGTATCCCGACCAGGCTGCTCTCCAATCTGTTCTCAAAACTGTGGAGTCATTTCCTCCTATTGTGTTCGCTGGTGAGGCTAGGAGCTTGGAGGAGAGGCTTGGTGAGGCCGCCTTGGGCAAGGCTTTCCTCTTGCAGGGTGGGGATTGCGCTGAGAGTTTCAAGGAGTTCAGCGCTAATAATATTAGGGACACATTCAGGATTCTTCTCCAGATGGGTGTCGTTCTTATGTTTGGTGGGCAAATGCCTGTCATTAAGGTACATCCATCTCCGCTCTTTCAGATTCTTTTATGTTCCGAGGATTATTGGTTGTCTAATCAGTGTTTGCTGTGTATCTTCAACATTGATTTAGGTGGGAAGAATGGCTGGTCAGTTTGCAAAGCCGAGATCAGATCCTCTTGAGGTGAAGGATGGAGTAAGTCTGCCAAGCTACAAGGGGGACAACATCAATGGCGATGATTTTACTGAGAAGTCAAGGATTCCAGACCCCGAGAGGTTGATTAGAGCTTACACCCAATCTGCTGCAACTCTCAACCTTCTCAGGTCCTTCGCCACCGGAGGATATGCTGCAATGCAAAGGGTCACCCAATGGAATCTTGATTTTGCTGAAAACAGTGAGCAGGGAGATAGGTGAGCCAAGTTATTCTTTACAGCTTTTAACCATATCTTAAATTTAGAACCAGCCCTGGAGGAATTGTCTTTAATTCCAAACAAATTTAGTAGCTCTAATTATGCATGCACCATGATCAAGTTGGAATCAGCCATTTGTAGTAGCTCTTGATCCTGCACGCTTCTTTAAGTTTGACAACTGTGTTAAATTTGCCGCACCGGTGAATAAAGTGTATTCCTAAATTGCTCAACAGGTATCACGAACTTGCTAGTCGTGTTGATGAGACCCTTGGATTCATGGCTGCTGCTGGACTCACTGTCGACCATCCTATTATGACAACAACTGAGTTCTGGACCTCTCACGAATGTTTACTCTTGCCTTATGAACAATCACTTACCAGACTGGACTCAACATCTGGTCTTTACTACGATTGCTCAGCTCACATGCTTTGGGTTGGGGAACGAACCCGACAACTCGATGGTGCCCACGTAGAGTTCCTTAGAGGGGTTGCTAACCCTCTTGGAATTAAGGTAGCTTCTTAAACCTTTTTACTTTGGCATGATGATCTAATGTTTGTTGATAAATTCAATATTATGCAGAGCAAACAATGAGTAAATGTGATCTTTGTAATGCAGGTAAGCAACAAAATGGATCCAAATGAGTTGGTTAAACTTATTGAAATCCTGAATCCTGGTAACAAACCAGGAAGGATAACTATCATTGTAAGAATGGGTGCTGAGAACCAGAGAGTAAAGCTTCCCCATTTGATTAGAGCCGTGCGAAAGGCAGGGCAAATTGTGACGTGGGTCTGCGATCCAATGCATGGAAACACCATTAAGGCACCATGTGGCCTCAAAACTCGTCCATTTGATGCTATTCTGGTAAATTTCTATCCCATTCCTTTTGGCTATATTTGATAGTTACTTCTGAAGCAAAGTCTTCTATGAATCATTAAACGAAGGGGAAAATAGTTGTCCCTTTTGCATTACAATTCCCCTGTTGATAACCATAGTTTACCGGCTCTATTATGTCATGTCTTCTAAACAAAGTGTCAAACCGTGTTCTTTTAGGCCGAGGTCCGAGCATTCTTCGATGTGCACGAGCAAGAAGGGAGCCATGCTGGAGGAATTCATTTGGAAATGACCGGACAGAATGTGACAGAATGCATTGGAGGATCCCGAACCGTAACGTTCGATGACTTGTCGTCAAGATACCACACACACTGCGACCCAAGGCTGAATGCTTCTCAGTCTCTTGAGCTTGCTTTCATCATAGCAGAGAGGCTTAGGAAGAAGAGGATTGGAAAGCAAAACCCTGTTTCCCCAAGCTCATTTTAAACAGATGGAGAATTCACTTGTGAATGATGAGTCTGAAGCTGCTGGTACTTGCCACAAACTTAATGCAATGCACAAATGGCAGGATGTAATGTTGAGGATCATATTTAGTTTTGAAGGATGGGAGTATTTTGCTGTGGAGAATAAGTGAGAACTCCAACCAAGGAGCTGGAGGCTCACAAGTTTAGAATACGTGTTTGAGCTTCATTTATTTATGAATTTCCCCAATTATGGGCTCTGATTTAGATTTTGAAGAGTTCTTTGTAAACAAAACTTAATTAAGCATTGAAATGAAACTTGCGTATTTATTGAACTCTGTTTCAAATAGAAAGAAACGATCAATATAAAAAACTTAGATAAAGACCATAATTCTAATCTCACGTTGCCAACAAATACGGATCGCGAATCTGCCTCCTCCTCCTTCCTTTCTCGACTGACAGCCGCACCGGCGGGATCTGTATAAGATATTATAATCAAGCAGATTGAAGTTGCTACGGTAGCTTCATATGAAATTTCAAATTTGACATAGCCTAAGGAAATTCGAGACGGGGGTAAACCTTGAACAGCGCCCATTTCCTTCTCTACCTTGGCTTGCATTTCGCCAAGAGCAGCTGATTCCTAGTGGTAGTGAAAGACGGTCACGGAGAACCTTGATGGCATCGTCATCGGCGGCGGACATGTCAATGTCCCCTTCCTCCACCGGGATCTCTCCGCCGTAAACCTCATGCTCCTCTTTCTCCATTTCCGTTCTTCCTTGTCTGAACCGGTTTTTGAGTGTAGAAATTATTCTTTAAAAAAAATTAAAATGCATAAAAAAAATATTTTTATTCTTTAAAATTAAACCAGCCAGCAATATTTAAAAAAAAAAAACACATATTCTTCGTGAAAGTGTAATTATGAGAGACTAAATGGTCAAAAAAGGAAACAACGCAGATAATTTTTGCGAAACATACGCGCCGACTCCGGTTTTTTTTTTTTTTTTTTTTTCAATATAAAAGCTGTTTTTTATTTAATATTCGGGAGGGGTAGAATCAGGTGCAAGCAAACTCAGACTACTTTCCTCCTCCTCCAATGGGTTTAATCCACGTGTCAAATAACTGAAACGGGTGATAATTTGCAATTATTGAAATGTAGATGCCTTAGCTTTCACATAACTCTGCTGTGATTCATCGGTGGGTAGCATTTTTAAAGGGCTACTGAGATCTTCCACTCTCTTTCTCCTTTCTGGATCCATTTCGAGCTTCTTCTTCAGTTCTTAGGGAGAAGGGTGTAGTGAGCTCAGAGTTGGAAAGATGGCGAGCGGCGGTGGATATGGGGATGCCAATCAGAAGATAGATTATGTGTTCAAAGTGGTGTTGATCGGGGACTCTGCGGTGGGGAAATCTCAGATTTTGGCGCGGTTTGCCCGAAACGAGTTCAGCTTGGACTCCAAGGCCACTATCGGCGTCGAGTTTCAGACTAGGACACTCGTTATTCAGCATAAGAGTGTTAAAGCTCAGATCTGGGATACTGCGGGCCAGGAAAGGTACTTTTTCCTCCACTTCCTTTCTTTTCTCTTGTATTTCCCTCTTGTTTGGTTTTTAGGGTTTTAGTGGATCTTTAATGTGTTGGATTTGGGGCAGAGTATAGTGGATGATGATGCCCTTAGTACTATTGAATTTCATTTGTCTAGTAGTTGGTACTGGTATAAAGGCCAGATTATTCTCTCTTTATACTTGCATGGAATCAGATTACTTGTTGGGTGAAATGTTTATCATCCAGTATTGTCTGTTCCTACTTTCATGGAATGAGCTTGAGCAGCATCTTTCATGTAGTTTTCATAAACAATGGCCTTGATATTCATTTGTTGTAAGATTGTCCTGTGGATTTGCGTTTTTTTTTTCCTCATGCTCCCATTCAGTCTTGTGATTCTTCCTTTAGCTTGTCTCGAAGCTTAACTATGTTGGATTTGATCCCTTAGAATGGAACTTTTATAGCTGGTTTTTGGAGTTTAAGTTAAACGATTATTATATACAGTTAAGACAATATTCCATTGAAGGCCATAGAAAAGCTGCATACCTTAACACATCTAGTATTTGAACAGATACAGAGCAGTTACAAGTGCATATTACAGAGGAGCTCTTGGGGCAATGCTTGTCTACGATATTACGAAACGCCAAACCTTTGATCACATACCTCGGTGGCTCGAGGAGTTGCGGAGCCATGCTGACAAGAACATCGTTATAATCTTAATAGGAAACAAAAGCGATCTGGAAGACCAGCGCGCTGTCTCCACTGAGGACGCCAAGGAATTCGCCGAGAAAGAAGGTTTGTTTTTCTTGGAGACCTCCGCACTGGAATCAACCAACGTGGAGAGTGCCTTCATGACTATCCTAACTGAGATCTTCAACATCATGAACAAAAAGAACTTGGCTGCTGGTGAAACTCAAGGCAATGGCAACTCTGCATCACTTGCCGGTGGTAAGAAGATCATAATCCCGGGCCCAGCGCAAGAAATCCCGGCTAAGAGCAAGATGTGCTGTACTTCCACATGATTTGTTCGGAGTTAGGCTCAAATGGGGCGATCTAGGTTGGTGCATTCCTTGATTATAGCAATTTTTTTTTTACTGGTGTGATGTTTTTCTGAGGTCATTTGTATATTTTGTTGTATGCTTTAGTCTGCTAGAGCTAGCAGCTGGAGTTTATATATACTTTGAAGGACGACAAATGAGGCTCTCATTTACCTTTTTTTCAAAATAGAAGCTGTCTTTATTTACTGGAATATGAGAAAATCTGAAGTTAACATCATGTGATTGTGCGTACTATAAAAACTTACTATTTGTTGTCTTAAGAAGGTTGTTCTAAGGTTGGTTGACATATCAATAATATGAATCTACGAGTGCTTGGAACATTTGATTGGGCAGTGACTGCAACCCCCACCCCCTTGGATTATAGATCTTGTAATAATGCGTATTATACAAAAATAAATGAGAATCCTAAGTATGAGTTATCGTATTCAATTTTTGGTTGAAGTGTTGTTTTAGCCTTTCAACTTTCATGCTTATTTTATTATGGGTTCTTTAATTTTCAACCATTTTCAACCATTTTCAACCATTTTCAACCATTTTCATCCATTTTCCCCATGAGCTTTATTCATAAAATCATTTCATATTTATAATTTTTGAATAAATCTTTTTGACAAAATTTGACTTTGGGTCATACGGTAAAAAAACAAAGGGAAAAAGAAAAGCTTTTCATATTACATCGGTTAGCTATTGGATTTTCAAATGAATTTAATTTCTTATTAAACTATTAATTAAACTAAAATATTTCAATGCAAAGGACATGGGTTAGTAAATCTTTATTCTACAGATACAGGAAATATATCCTTTAATAAAATAGTATAAAGAACCAGAGATAAAAATAACAACTAAATATCCTCCATAGTACTCTCTCTTTCAACATAAATCCTCCTCAAAAATATCACATTAGTCTGAAGAAATCAACAACATGCTGCCACAACAAATATTTGATACACAAGAAGCAATGATAAGGCTCAACTTTTCTAGGATTATACAGTTGAACTGAAGCTGCTAAACTAATCCCACGTATTACTATTGTCTAAACTAAATTATCCCACGATTTTCACCCAAGATTTAGATTAGCTTCAACATGAGAATTTAAGAAAGCTTGCCTTCCCTGCTGTGCATTACACATCATTTCCAAGCCGATTTGAAAGCCTTTCAAGTAATTCTTGGCAATCAATGGCTGTTACCATAACACTCAGACTGGACCTCCCTTTCCAGCACCCAATGGCTATAGTCGACTCGTCAACTTTGATAACATCTGAAGAGGTGTTACTACCTGAAAAGACAAAGCTGTGCTTAGTAAAGACCAGATGCTTTAACACAAGGATAATCACACATGCACGCTACGCACCTGTACCCAAAACTATCACACAACAACCTAGCATTAGGTTTGATGCCTTCTCACCAAACGCAGCATCAGCAAAATCTGCATATTTGATACTTTTATGTTGTATTAGATGCTTGAAATCCACGGGAGACATTGTTAGGATTTGCTTGGTGATGTACGGGAGTATCACAGGCAATCCTTCGGACGTTATACGGAATGAACAAGGTGCACAGCTACCTTCTCTTGATGATTGCCTCTCCTATTCAACGCAATTACATGAGATATGGCAGTTCATCAAATTATTTAAAATAATAATAATACTAAAAGCATAGAATTTTGGCACTTAAGGGCCGATCCAAAGATGAGAACAACGAAATCAGCTGAGCTCTAGCTAGCAAAAACAAAAGCTATTAAGTTAAACAATCTTATTGTGAAAACGGTTCGGCCATTTGGCGAGCCATGGTGTAAGAAAATTGATTAGCTGCTGGTGTGTACCATCAGTTTGAAAACAGTAATGATCCCAAAATATAATGAAAAAAATGAAACGGCTGGCAAAGGATACTTACAAACATCTTCAGACCAATAGATGTTATCTTAAGCTGCTGCCCGACTAAAAAATTCAGCTCAAGAACATCCTTAACGGACTTTGATACGTAATAGATTCTTTTCACATGGTTAGTGTCAGTATTTCGAGTCACAAGGTGGCCAAACAATGGGAAAGCCTCATTAATACCATAAAATGTCTTAATGCTATCAATAACTGTTTCATCTCTGAACAATACAACGGGGTCAACTCCCTTCCACTTGCCCTGAATCTGTAACTTTCTCTTCACAGTGCTTTTCTTAGGATCCATTTCACCATCATCAGGCTGCTTAGACTCCTCTAAGTTATCTTCAATAGCAGTAATTTCCAAATTATTTACACTCACTTCATTATCAACTAAATTAACCTCTAAATCGGCTTCTGAGAACTGCTTATCTATCCCATCTGCTGCATTACTGTCCAAACCTTCTGTACCTTCAATATCCTGAACTGGGAATTCACAAGCTGGTTTATTGTCTGCAGAATTAAAATCTCCTTGATTATTTGAATCAACCCCAACTTCTGAGGGGCTTTCATCCATCCCAACTGATGCACTAACGTCCACATTCGCTCCATTTGTAATAGTCTGTGGAAGCTTGCAACGAGACTTGTCATTTACAGGCTTCAAATTTTGATAACTTGGTTTTTCAGTAGCAGCTGAAGCAACCCCATCGATGAGGAAAGGGGGAAAACACAAACAAGATACGAAAAATGTAAATTCATAGGGAAAGAAACTATACATTGAATTCAATTTATATAGAAACCGCGTTAAAATCAAAGCTAGAGGAACTATCAAAGCTAGAGGAACTACCATAGGTAATGAAGTACGAGAAAAG